CAATTTAGGGCCAAATTTTACCCGGCAACGAAAAAACATTGGAGCTATTGGATTTTTCATCCAATAAGATCAGTGCAATTGGCAGCAATGCTTTTGAAAAAATGGAAAAGTTGCAGATTCTGAAGCTGTGCCATAACAATCTTACAAATCTAAGCAAGTACGTCAGTTTCATGCGAACTTTCCAGCAACCAATACATCTTTTCATACTAAAAGCCGGAACCATTTCGCTTTGAAAAACTCATTAAATGTTCATCCCAGGAATTCGTTCCGCGGCGGCCCGAGCTGGAATTTGAAAGAACTCTATCTGAATGGTAATCCGTTAAAGGAACTCAATATTTTCGACGAGCTGCCAAACTTGGAGAAATTGGTGCTAGATGAAGTCACTGGCCTGGATTTCCAGGAGACGTTTTCAGGACATTCACTGAAACATTTGAAGTATCTCAGTCTGCAAAACTGTAATCTGACCTCCTTGCCAGATGACATTTTCCAGGGTATGATGTAAGTATTTATACTGGCTTTATAAGCTTTACTGCACCATAAAGACGCATTACAGCGAAATCATGTCATTCTGTGTGTACAAGTTTGTGCATTTGTGTGTATTTGCGTACGTATATTTGTCTGTTTGTGTGTGCAGGTCAGGTTCAAGCTAATTCTCCATCTTCAGGAAGTGCGTTGCTTCAGTCCTTTTACAATTAAAGAACACCTTCACTGCCTAGCATACTTCAATTTTCATCTCAGCCGACCAAAATAATTCAATATTCAGATATTTTTGACGCAAAAAATTATCATTTAGAAATTTGGAGTACCTATCGCTGAGCGGCAATCCACTAAAAGCAGTGCCTCAGGCAGTCCAGGATATTCCAACTCTAAGAACACTCAACCTCAGTCACACAGGCATTGAAGAAATTCAAACCGACGCGTTCGTGTATAGTCACAATCTGAAAGAGCTGTACATGGAAGAAAATAAGAATCTCCGTGTCATCCACGAATGCGCTTTCTGTGGCCTAACTTCTTTACAGGTATCATTCCCCACAAAATCTCCGAACAAACATACCATATATTCTGCAAAAAGCATTGAAAAATATCTCACATCCGCATAAGCGCGGCGGCCATTTGATTCCCCACGCTACTAGTCTATGCTGTTTACTTTGATTCTTTTAAAATTCTTGCTTTCGAAATGCACGAATTATTAAACAGTCCTGGGATTTCGGTACAGGATAAGGATTTTTGTTGCCCAGACTTTAAATAATTTGCAGCATGAGCCCTCAATCCATCAAGATTTCAAGTGATATTCCAGAAACTCGTGCTGAGAGGTTGCTCACGACTCACGCAAATCCACGATTCAGCATTCTGTACTGATGAATCAAATCTCAGAACACTTGATGTAGAACATGCGCGTCTGTCATCACTGCCAAGTTCACTGAATCTTGAAGTTGCTGAAACACTGAAATTGGGCGGAAATCCGTGGAACTGCACGTGCTGGCTCGCTAAAATCAACGAACACCAAATTGATCTCAGTAATGGCAGCATGCCGCCAAGGTTAAATCATATCAAATTGCATTTGCTATTTCCGGGACTCAAACTGAAGTAGCAGAGGTAAAATTATCCGCAGTATCGTTTTCAAACTGTCACCCGAACAAAAAAAAATTTACGTCTTGAAGCTTGCAGCTGAAAAAAGTGACACCTGTGCACCGGCCTACCAGATAACTAGAACGCATCTGCTTTAAGAATTGTCGGGAGGAGAAACAGCCTTGTCTGCGATTGCTTACGAATAGTAAAAGTGATATCAAGCAGGCAGTATCGGCTCTGCATCCCTTAAAAAATTAAATGTGCGGTGGTTTTCCAGTCTCGATCTCGCAAAAAAACAAAATTAAATATCTCCCAGATATCCGATAAATTGGAAGTTTCGACAATAATGGTGTTACAGTATGCCCAATACGTCCGGCGCAGCTATCACCAAGCCGTTCTGTGACCACGTTACGAAGCACGAGTGCTTAAGCGGTTGTCTTACCTCACAAGCATGCCACGAACAGCAAGCAGTGTAGGTCGTTTTCAGTAAGATGAGCAAACTGCCCTGCTCATCAGACCCTACTTTTTCGCGCAGTCGCAACGATAAGCTGTACAGCACTCATCTTGTGGAGATGTGATTGCTTCTATGGTCACAAAAGGGTGATTCTTCGCTTTACCGCTGTCTTCATCACAGCCAGGGTTCACGCTTTACAGCTTTCTGCCACGTTTCGCATCTCCATTTCATTATCGTCAAGAGGGCAGGAAAACATGGATTTTGAAAAATACCACCATAAATGCTGATTTATAAAGATTTGAAAAACAGCTGTTAAGATGTCATTGGCCACTGTCACTACGTGGTGAAAGAGTGGACTTCATCAGAACATCAGATGTTTGCCCTGAAACTCATGGCATTGTTCAGAAGATACGCGTCGTTCTTCTACTACTTTCGATCGTTTCGGTTTTCCTTCTCATTATTTACTGGATAAGAAGACACATTGTCAATATAGTGATGTTCAGTGATGGGTATACCAAGTTGCAAAAGAATCCAGAATTTGTTTAATTTGTGTTCCCCCTCATTTTCTGATCTTCTTACCCCATTATCCATAAGCGACACTGCCTCACATCGTATTTTTTTGTTTTGGTAATTCTCACACAACCGTTCCCTACTCTCAAATTCTGCTGCTTTCGTAATTCTGAAGTTAAAGTTTGTGATCGGGCAATAGATATGGTGTAACATAAAAGAATTTTTGCGCTGCCAAAGTGATGTAAAAATGCATAAAAATTCACTGAATTTTTTATTCCGCAAGTAGCATTTAGAAGAATTAACTACCAGTGAGTTCTTACTAGTACCTGCCGTAGTTGCCCGGTGTTTGGCTGAATCCTAAAAACACTTTTTACATTTGATCATTACAGCGTTTGCCTGAAGCAGCTTCCCATCGACTGGGACCACTGCAGAAGTCCAAACCGATCTGGATAATTCACCATTTAATTTTGATAATTCGCATGAGCTGCCGATTACTCCAACAACGCGCATTGAGTACTCTTTGAAGCATTTGTAAAATGTGCTGCATCTTTTTAACTGCTGAGAACACCTTTTCGAACTCATCGGAGGCTGTGAAATTCAGCTTCACGGAATTCAAAGCCCAATCAACGATCTAATAAAGTTAACAGGAGCTACAAAATACGCATCCCACATTCGGCAGCAGGAGAGGGATTTCGCAAACAAGCAAGAATCGGTTTACCTTGCCTCTAATATGCTATGACTTGCCTCGCATCAAGTTCGGCTTAAGTGTGGATATTCTTTTCAGTTCGTTGCTTTTCTCCTCCCTGCGCTTACTGTGAACCGAGTAAATATTGGAGGAGGAGGCAAAGTAACGTTTGGTTTGAGGAATGGCACTCACGCCATTAATTCAAAAACCAAGCAAAAAAAAAAACAACGGTAGGAATCCCTCACATGTTTAACTGCGATCCCGTGTCTACCAAAAATATCATGGGTGACGGAACAGGTCTATTCTCCTCATGCCCTCCGTGCTGGGCCGGACAGAAAGCACCGTTCCAGAAGTATCGAACGTAACCAGACTTCTCTCGCATCATGGACTGGTACGCCAGATATTCAGAACAACCTCTGTGAGTCACAGCTTGTGATGTATTTC